AATGTGCATCGTGAAATTCATTAATTACGACTGTTTTTATTTGCTCGTACGTCGCTAAAAGCCAAACCATCCCCCGGCTCGAAGAAACAGCCCACGTGTTACTAAGTCGGTTACGCCCTGAAGAAATTTCATCTCGGAAAATATAAGAATAATTAACTATCTTCTTACCTTACTTTGTGATCTTCTCAGCTTGCAGAACGCACGTTGAACGAGTAGCTTGGATAGTATGAACTTTTGGAGACACTCCTGCTGAAATGTTCTCCTTTTCATCCCTGTCAGCACTTTTTCGTCCATCGTTGAAATAAGCCGACTCCATTTTGTGCAATTCTGTAAAATTGTTAATAATATTTAAAAAAAGTAGAATATTAATTGTATATTCTTCATTACCATTTTAAATTAATTTCTTTATTGATTGATCTCAATTACCAAAGGGTACCAAATTAATTTAACAGACCTACAAATTTTATTCAATTAATGACAAACATATTGATACGAATACCTAGTATAAGAATTGAAATTGAAAGATCTTAAGTTTCCTCCACCTCAAGCACCGAAAAACAAGGATAGCTTACAAACGTTTCGAAATCAATGTAAGAAATTCCAACTCTCGATGGATGGAGGCTTAGAAATGTAGATCAGTCCAAGGGACCGTTCCGAATTGTTTTTGTGAATGGTCGAGCATCCTGTCGGAACAAACATGACGTATATATCTTCTTCTGCCTCGCACGTTGGCGAGAAACATAATCCTGTTTTGCTGAACGGATGTAACACTGCTTCTGTTTCAAACAGCAGACGTTTCAGAGCGTTAGGAAGTATTTAATTTTTCTTTGTAATATGAAAGAAATAAAATATTGAATGTCAGAAGTAGAAGACTTAATTTAAGTGATGAGAAAATTTTTGATTAATAAATTCTTGTTTCATTTCTCTGGGAATGTACCTCCAACCAAAAAGCGTAAAGTAACCGAATCGAAACTGCTTTCATAGGTGGAACAATAAGTGTCGAGCTTATATCGTAGACGAGATAAAATCGGAAAAATGTACGAGTTGTGAGCTTTAATAAATTCCCTGGACGATAAAAATCCAGTGGACCAATTGTGAAACTCGACGGACCGTCAAATCTCGAGGTGGAGAGCATAAATCGACACCTTTTCAGACCCTCTTCAACTTATCACCTCTCGTTTTTTACCGTTCGAACCTTCGAACAGCCTAGTTTCGTTGTTCAGACAGGAGGATGAGAATGTTTCAATTTAAACAGAATATTTTCAATAGCAAACGAATAAATTGTTGAAACACCAAGAGAAAAGAATTGAAGAGAATTTTCTATAGGGTTGAAAAAATTCTATTAACCCTCGGACGACGGACCATGAAGAGACCCGCAAGATATGAAACTTTTTCTTTTAAAAGTGATACATTTATTTTTAGATTAATATCCGTAAATATCATTCTAATATTTAAAATCTTTTAAAGAGAGATAACTTTTGTCTCCAAAATTACGTCTGCTTGATTGAAGAAAATAATAATGGTTTTAATATCATAGGGCAAATGAAAGGAACGTTGCTCCTTTAGTTGCCATTATTGTTCTCGTGTACGATCGCGCTGATAAAAATCACGAGTCGACTTTTACACAGGAAATAAACGAATTAGTTGTTCGCTTTCGTGTCTCTCGAATCAGTCGCTCTTGTTTCCATGGCGGAAACAGCGACAGGGAAAATTCGCGGACTGTAATTGTGCAGAGAAGTAAAAGGGTGAATTAAATCTGGCAATTTATTTGGTCTACCATCCACTGCCAAAAATCAAATCAAATGAATTTCTCTAACTAGTAATGAAAATATCTTTTGTCATTTAATTATGACATGGACTAATTAATATTTTAATGAAATAAAATAATAATTTTGTCTGTCTTTTGTTTAGAAATCAATCATTTGAATTTTTGAGAAATTTAATTTATAATAATTTTATCTAATTTTCTTTTCATTTATTGAAATTGATTGCTTTCTGAAAGATTTAACAGCTAATAGAAAATCAATTATCCTGCATCAAAAGCGGAAAAGATAAAAGTGAAAGATTCAGTAAATCGTGTTTCACTGGCATGTATATTTCCAGTATTCGCGAAAGGAACGATCGTTGAAGGAAGAAAGTGCTTTACCTGCACGTATAATCTGGAACCGTGGAAATGAAAGTGTTCTGGGTGTAGGGGGGTCTTTATGATACAGCAGAGGAGCTTCTACAATCATCAAGCATAGTCGTCGTTTGTCTCTCGCGTATAGGAAAAAACGTGTACAGGAGAAAATCCATTTCCTTTCGTTTCTTCGCGCGACTTCAAACGGGGCTGGAATTTCGATTTCGAATAATCTGCAAATAGATACACATAAATTTAAGTGACGCTTATTTTCAATATTATTTCTTTAAAAAATTCCATTTTCAATTTCATTTTTTTTTTTTTAATTTTTAGGGTACTCAAATTTGCAAAATATCTTATTACATTTTTTAGTTCTTTGAAGATAAATAACAGAAAATTATTTTATTACAAAAACTGAATGGTAGATAATTTTTTAATTTGATAAAACTACCCGCTACTCTAATTAACAAACGTTGAAATGTCATACATGTTCCCATCACAGAACTGATTAAATCAGTATTCCAATCACCTATCATTGTGCTCTATTGGCGAAGTTAAACAGTTTCCTACGGTCTGTTCTAAAGTTTTGACTGGAGGCTGAAGAAGAAACTTTCCAGATAACATTCTATCCTCAAAGGACACGGTCGTAGGTTAAGGGTAGCCAGCCAACTCGGCTGTTCTTCTTTTTTCTTCAGCCTACGCCCAGACAAAATACAGTGACGTGTGGGTGGCGAGCAAATGGAAGCAGCCTCCTGAAGATTGCAAAGGCAATTTTCTTCGACAATACGGTCCACTGTTCCACGCACGATGCGTGCCCTTTCTCTTTACCATTCACGCGTAAGGGTCGCCCACTAGACGCCGGAATCCAGTCTTTTTTTCTTCACCGGATACGCCCTTCGTCCTGGCAAAGAGAGCCTCTTCAGCCAGCATCAAGGGACTGAAGGGTTGTGAAAGAAGAAAGGAACCTTCAAACGAGTCGGTCTGGGTTCAAGGGATGAATTGTTGCGATAAGTTTCTCGTTGCTCCTCTCTTCACGATTCACCTGAAATTTTTCATTTGTATAATTGTAAAGATCCTCTTCCCCGCCCCTTACAGATTTTTTCGAGAAATGAAGAAACACTGAATAAATGTGAATCTTGAAGAGCTCTCTTCTCTATCAAATATTTCTAACAAGTGGATGTCTAATACACTTGACCCGGGTGTAATTGTGCCGGTATCTATGTGATATGACGAGTTCCACGCGAATTAGGCCAAGTAACTATTTTGAGCCATCGCTTGACAGAATGACAGACCAAGAAGTCCGGAAGATACTGGATGGTAAATGGATGGCACGGTTGGTCGCGACCGCTCGCATCAATTTCAAATAAGGTCCTTAAAGCTTGATCGACTTTCTGGAACGTTAGCCAGCTTGTCCGTGCACGACCTTTCTGTACAGCGCTCCAATTCTCTATCAGAAGCCGCTGTTAATCTGTTCCAAAAGCTGGTTCGTTGCTTTCTGAATGTTAATTAGCAGGGTGTCACGTTTGATGGACGTATCTCGTTGATAAAACAGCGAAAAGTTGTACTCAAAAAAGGAATTAATTCCGAAGAGACGTAGGTTTGATATTAATACTTTGGTGACCAGCATCATGAATTCCTGACTCTGATATGTAATTTACATATTATTGAATATTGGATTTTCAACTTGGGTTAATTTGATCGAAACGATGAATGAGGATTAAAAAGATGTGTATAAGAAGAACTGTTCGAATATTGGTCTCATTTATCCATGTCCTTTGTGTCTGAAGACACAGGAGGATTCAGATGAGGGTCTCCCTAGTCTCTCCCCAGGTTTTCTTAGAATTCTCTCAAAATTAAAAACAAATGGTAGTTGAATTCTTTTCTTGGACTTATTCTTAATCGATTAACATCTAACGTTCCTTATTTGAAACTTTTATACTGTGCCTTCTGAGATCACAAATCTTTTGTTTCACTGTTTCTTTGTCCTAAGTGGATACTTGGAGTATTATAAGTAAATGCTTTGCTGGATTATCTATTTACATTTACTTTTTGTTTGTAATTGATAATACTGTATTGAAAATAAATTATTTTTAAAACATTAATTTCTCTGTCACTGGTGAACCTGTGACCCCATCTGTGAGATACCAAGAAACACTACGGGGCATTTTTACCCCTCAGCAGGGATCCACCCTTATCGTCGCACAATAATCTCGAAAACGCTTAAATTATAAAACATGACCTAGGTGAAATTTTGTGGTCGCATAGCTAGCCAACCAGACATTTAATTACTAATAAATTAGACAGGTGCATAGAGAGAGATGACGTTGCAAATGAAATTCTAAATGAAGCTCAAATTAGAATCCTCCTATTTCTATAGGACTATTTCTATAAACGATTCAATATATTTCTATAAATTTAGAAGAAACAATTTACCAGAATATTCTTTATGCTGCATATTTAAAATTCGATGTCTTCTTAAAATTCCAATACTCTTTGCAGAATTCATCATTTTTTAGCACCATGCACACAAAGCGGTATAATATCATCCATTCACTGAAAAATTTATGAAATATGTTTATTTAATAATCTGTATACAATAGTACATATATTTGTAAAATGATATATGCATAAAATTTGTTTTATCTTAATAACCCAAGTCCTACAGTAACATAATACCAATTAATTATACTGTAACATAAGTTATTCAGTGGCGGATCCAGAAAAAAATGACTCACTATAACACCTATAAAATAATTAAATAAAATAGTTGTTATCGAATAAAAATACTAATAAATGAATCATAAACAAGTTTATTTCGCTGCCCTCTCCAACCTCAATCGAGGTTTCTGAATCCGCACTGAGGCTTATTTAATAATTGTACTTGCATACCAACGTTCTTTTATTTTCTTAATAATCTTCACGTATCTGCAGTATACAAAGTTATCATATTGTAGTCAGATAATTAATCTAAGGCACAAATGTGATAAACACCTGAACAGTACATGTCGTTAGATTAATTACACCTATGTTTTTTTAAATAAATTAGTATTATTAAATGTGCGTCCCGAAATATAAAAGTTGTTCAAGTTCAGATTGAATAAAATAATGATTGCCTTATTAATATACTTTAAAAGACTTATAAAAAATAAATATTATATTCATTAATTGAATACTACTAGGTACATTGTACGATAGATTTAATTTTACTAATCTCTTTAATAGCTCTGTATTGTATATGTGCAAAAACATTTAATAGTAATTAAATCTTTCTTTTAAATTGGTTCTCATGTATTTCGTAAAAGCAGGCAACAATTCATCTACTACCTCATCCATATGTTCAAAAAGAGCTATTACAGTTTTACTAACTTTCTTTTGTATCTTTGCATCATTGATAAAAGAAGATATACTTAAACATACTTGTTTCAAACTCTCTCTCACGTAACACCATACAAAATGAACTGCCTTGTCGATAAAATTCACACCATATACATGTTCTAATAGCCTAATAGCTATTTGAAATATTAGAGGAAAGACACTTGTTGCGTCCTTCATGTACTTCATATCTTGACAAACTTCGTCGAATTCTTCAACATTGGGGACAGTCGCATCTCTACTGTCATTTTTTGTAAATACATCTGTCAATAAACGAATTAATAAATTTCTTAATCTGGTAAGCGTATCTTCAGCGTCCCTATCTTCTGGCATTGATGAAGCTCTACGTTCGGTAGGATTCCTGTCTAACGCATTTAGTATCATAACGAATTTCATAGGATCTAACATTGTAATACCATTGATTGTTATCTTTCCACCTTCAAAGGACACGGTATTGTAAGATGCAGTAAAATTACTTTGCGCGTTAGGATTTAGTTGCAAATCTATCTTTTTATTAATATAACGTATCACTTCGGCATTCTCAGACATCTTATCTTGGTTGTTTGCTGCGGCAGTACGTTTTGCGCGGTTGAATGCTTTACGAAGACGTTTAGAGCGCAAAGTAGATCTATAATCATCTAAGATTTTACCTTGAGTCGTCTCGATCAGTTCTCCCGCGAATTTGAAATTTAAAGCTGCATTACCAAAGAACAAAATGTGTGTTCCCACAGACAACACATCTATGACTCTAATTGTTTTCTCTTCCTGATATTTTATATACATACAATACGCTCTGAACGCTACCCCACAACCATTGATGCCTAAATTACTTAAAACTACTGTATTATAAGCAAATTTAACAATGTTACTTATATTACTACCGTTCTGAGCAGCTTTTGTCAGAAGCATAGTTCCTGTGCTTGCAGCTAAACCAACTACGCTGCCACTTATAGCTAACCACGAACATAACGCATCCCTGTCTGTTACACTAATACTTTCCATATGAATGCTTCTGTCCACCAGATGATGTACTGACCGACCGGCTGTCCATGCACCAGTTACTCCAGCAGTTACAACTGCCCCTATAATGATAACATTAAATACCATTTTGTTTATATTTTTATTATTTGGATTTGTTAGCATTCAATCATGTGCCTTCATGCATATTGTTACTATCTATCTGAATTGATTTTACTAAAATTATTTTCATCCTTATGATGGTATTTATAATACAAACGGGTATGTACATACAATTTAATCTGACTTACCTAATGTTACTGGCGCAAGAGGCGTGAACATAGATGCAATACCTAAGCCCAAACTAACTACACCTACTACATTAGATGTTGTATCCATAGCATTTAAGATACTGGATCTAGTGGAACATTTAGGTGACTCCAAAACTTCTAACCATACTGTTGAGTATTCTTCAGTTATTTCATAACTTGGATCAGGCTGATAGTATCCATGCACTGGAATAACCATAGTGCATTGCGGTAATGTATTATTATTTTTATAAGCTGTCCAGTTTTGGTATACTCTAGCCCATGCATCGATATACCATTCGCTATGTAAAGGCTTTTCATTTTTGCCACTTATAAGTCTTTTTATCTTAAAAATAGGTGTTGCCTGCAAATCCATTTCAGATTCCTTGCTAGAATCTTGTTCCTTTTCCTTTTTTGAATTTTCCTCCTTTTCTTCCTTCGAATTTGTTTTAGATTCTGTCTTAGTATTTTCTTCCTTTTTTTTATCTGACTTAGATGCTTTGGTAGAGTTTCTTTTAGTACGAAATGTTATATTAAAAATTATCCCAAAATGAATACATTCCTTTTCCACTTGTCCTTCCCCATATTCACATACTTTTTTATATATTTTATCTATAATTTTCTGAGCTTGAGGTATATAATGAAACTGACCAATAATATCACCTGTTTCACATACTTCATCTAATTTGGTATTTGCTTCTTTTGCATCTGATGGTGGACCAAAAAGTGCAAAACCAATATTCTGATATAAATATTTATATTCATGTTTTGTATATTTTGTCCATTCTGCCAAAAGTTCATAATATTCTTGTTGTTGTAATTTAGCATATTGCAGCATTGAATTCTATATAATACAAAAATATGATACGCTTAAGTTTGCTGATGGCAATAGTTATAAACACTTGATTAATGTAATAGTTTATATTTACCCAATTAATATCTGATTCATCTTTATAGTTCTTAGATGTTTGGGAATCTTCAGAGCTGTTACCAGCCATCTTCTCTATTGTAATTAATAAAAAATTGTTAAAATATATTAAAAAAACCTTGCCTACAAAATAAACATTTATAGAAGTAATGTAACACAGTCATACAATTATGTGAACACTATTTCAGAATAATAATTCTACTTTCTATTTTTCAATATGAATTTATTATCATTTCATCTATGTATTTCATGTTTAAAATTATTTAAAAATAACTTACGTATAATACAGATTCTTTTACAAAATTACACTGATGACCTGGAACACGTTCAAGTATTGAAGGAACAAAGACGTAGCAATCGGATTCTCAATACTATATATAACATTATGTGTAAAAATAGGGAATCCCATAATTCGCTACTAATTGTGTCGAATGCATATGACGGAAGTAAGGGGAAAACTATATTCTCTTAGAAAGTGCATTGAAAAATATATTTCTATTTCGCGTAACAATAACTTCGTATTTTTATACCATATTGTATATACAACTGAGATAACAGAAAAACAAAAATTCCTATGTTAAAAATAAATATAAAGACTAATAATTAACATTTAATTACTGTCTTCAATACTGACGCATCCTCACCACTTCACGAACTAAAATTTCCTTCAACTGTAATTATGTGGAAGTGCATATAAAACCCTACGAATATTATATATTAATATAATTACTGAAAGAAGCATTGTTTATTATCTTTCCAAGGCTAATAAATTAACATTAATTACATAACATCTTATTCTCAGTAGCGACAACAGAAAGATGTAACAGTGTACCAATGGCGCAGAAGAAAAGCGCTATATTTCTAATATATAATTAAATCAAACATAATCTTATATATCTATATATCTTACGCATACATAAAAATATATTAATTGTATATTAGCTCTTAACACAGTACCATATTTCTAAATTATTAAATTTAGAATCTTTTATACTCCGAGGTGCAATCCTGTCGGTGTTTCAGTTTTTCATTGGCGGTTATATTTTTCGCTACTATGTATGTACTTAAATATGTATGTAAGTACTTACCCAAAGTTGGAATAACTATAATTCTTATTATAACTTGTCTGAAGTAAAAATGAAAAGCCTTACTGATGAATCCAGTAATAGATACAACGGCGAAATTTTAAAAAGTCCATTGTACAGTTCTTGTGACTCTCCGTGGTATGAATCCCGCCAATCCGAACGCACCAAATATAAATTGTACAGTTCAATACATTATAAATTAAAGAAACAATATCATGATACCAACAGTCAAAGAAAAAGTCTGTAAGAAATTTCCAGTCTATCAGAAACAAGTAGTTTTAATTATTATGAGCGGACGAAACCCAGTTACAACAGGAACTTAAAATTCTTCGTTGGTTCGAAGTTCTCGATCTTGAATCATCATGGCGTCCCTCCGCGCCATCGTGTTCGTTTCGGAGCGTTGTCCTTGTACGCCAACTAGCGGCAAGAATCGACACCATTCTCTCTGGCGAATCGATATTCTGCTCAAATATTGACTTCGCGATTGTGCGTGGTGTCGCAAGCGAGTCGTGCAGTAGACGGCGATGCTCTTTTAAAAAGCGCGTTCTGGCGAGTGATAAGTCAAGTGCTGTTGGTCGGAGAACTGATAAACGAAGTTTCCTGGAAACGGGAGGAAAAGAGGAACAATGTTACTGGCGGCTAGTGCTGTGCTTCTCGGATTGACCCTCGGTCTCTCCCACGCAAGCATCCCAGCCCTCGAGTCGACACCAAGCTCCTTCAACAATCATGGAGGTGATTTCATTTCTCTTTTCTCGTGCCCTACATTCGCCTAACTCCTCTGTTCATTGTTTGTCGGGTGAAAAAGGATCCTCTGTAAGATGGTCGATTCTGTTTCTTTCATCGAGCCACCCTTTGTTTTACGGTGGGACCCATTGTCGAACGGGTAACTCGCAGGTGCAATTGTTCTTTCGTGAGCACCTGCAGTCACCGAAACTGTTATGGCGAATTCATTGACTGGTACCCAGTCTCCTCGTTACGATACATACCGTGTTTCGAGTGCATACAAATCGCTCGATGTTCCGTAAAAGTATGCAGAAAAAATACCTCGGATGGATAACGCGGATTATGTGTTACGATTCCGCTTATGACAGCATTAGTCACGCTTCGTGATAAGAAAATAAATGCGAGTCAGATTGGATGAGGTAGCGTTGAAAATGGGCTCGATTCAAGCAAGAAAATCGAAGCGACGCTTTATGGTCTCTATCGACCGGTAGATATACTGGCTAATGCATTGTCAAAAATTCGATGTTTTTATCTCTCGTTATTGTCCGCGTTGGGGGAAGCGCCATAATATTTTGATACGGCTAAATTGATAGTCGTATCTTCGCGTTCAAAAGCGCGCTGATAAATGCTTTTCGAATTCCAATTCGAATACCAATCCGCTTTTTTGTCGTACATTTTATCGAACCGTAAATCGGAATAACGAGCTTTTAGTACGCTAACGAGTATATCTTGAAATACGCTTTATCCAGCGACGTCTATCCTTAGGTGCTCCAAATATACATACATTTTCTGCGAATTTTCAGATGTATCAATTTCAAAGGGAATCCTAATAATTATTGAAACTAACTCTTTTGCATCTTCATTTATTTATTACTATACACCATTTTAATTCAAAGCGCATAAGCTGGAGATCTTTTTTTAATATTATGATATAAGATTATTAATTATTACTTTACCAGCATCATAGCATTTTTATGTAAACAGCAGTTCATTTGATTATACAACATATGTTTTCATCCATTTTTTAATACAATTTTTCTTATGAGTATGTAGATTCAGTGTATAATATAGTGTAGTATCAAAGTGTAATGTAAGATGTTTTTCTAATACGAATTTTTAAATTAATCCCTGAAGGTAGAATTTCATATTTAAGTTCATGTATTATCTTTTATTCATGTCATAAAATAAATACGTACTTTAGAACCTCATATATTTGTGTTTTTATGAAGAATTTTATCTAAAGCTAATTAGTGTCACTATGTTACTATTTAGGTGAAAAAACTGTAGATTAGACGTAAGAAAAAACTAGAAGTGATATCAATAATCTCAGCTCTGTGTATCATATAACAGTATCATCTACTAATAGATCATTCTATTCTTACCAATATTATATCCTCCATGTATTTATCATTAATTTAATTATTTCAAATTGCAAGTCTCATACCTATCACTAACCAAATAATAACAAACATTAGTGAATCACAGCATTGAAATTTATATAAATTTTATTAGTGAATCGCCACCTACCAGCTGGAGCAATTCACTTCAAACGAAACTGGTTTCATTTTATTAATGGATTAATTAAGTATTAGTGGTAACATTCAGGCAGAGGTATTTCAATAACATAATACAATAAATTCATTGGAGAGTATATAGGTAATTTGTAAATGATGAGGGCTTTAATTAAGGACCATATAATAGAATGTTGCTGAATTGATTATCTTTGTAAATCATTTCAGGATGTTTCGACGTGATTTTTTCTACTGTAGATGCAAAAGCATCGTGCGAGATAATCACGTATAACATGATACCTGTTCTCGTTGATATTTCGCAAAATATCTTGCGTAACAGCACGAAGCATTAATAAACTATAATGCGACAGTAAAACTGATGTCCGCTGTACAAACGTTCCTCTTTTTCTTTTCTTCGCTGTTCGACTTTTTATTCAAATTTCATACCTGTTTCGTGGGCCATCGATGACCCACTAAGTTTGTCAGAAGCATAACTTCTGATGTTTCTTCAGAGTTCCAAACTTATTTACATATTTCTAAAAAACCTTATGAAGTTTTTCAAACTTTTTAAAATTCTAATTCTTAGTGAAATTCTTATCTATTGTTACTCCAGTCTTGGAAAAAAGTGTTTTTATTATTTACATTTAATTTAAATATTATATTTGTAATTAAGATTTTGAGGGACTTGGGAATTTTTTAAATTTTCATATCGGTGGTTAAATAAATAAAAAGTAAGTAATGTTAAATAATATAAATATCATATTCAAAATATTATGAATTGTTCACTTGAAATAATTTATTTATGTTTTTTCATGCTTGCTATGGATAAATATAAATGATTTTATTCCATCACGAATTTGTAGTTTAAACAAGCATTGTTTACTATGTATCGCATAAACAAATATTAATTTTCAGCATGGAATCATGTTAGCAATTGATTTTGATAAAACCATCCATCTGTGCAGATATTTCCTAGCAAATAAAATTGAAATTAAATAGTTAACTTCAAAATCGAGTGCATTATATATAGTGCCCTTTTTTAATTAAAATAAAAATATTTTAATTTTAACAATTGTATAGTTAACAAAATATTCAATTAGCGAATAATTCTTTATTTTAACATTTTTGTTATTTCTAATTTATTTTATATTATTCCAGATGGATTTTACTCCAAGTTTCTCATTCATTGTATCGCTTTTTTAATTAAATTTAAAATAAAGTTAAAGCAAAATGGCTGTTCAGTTCAACTTTACACACATCAAATGCATTATATTTTTTTTAATTATTGTTGTAGATGACTTTCATTCAAATTTCATTTACGTTAATTAGATTTTGCAAAACGTAATATGACTCTATTCTTAAGAGGAACGTGGAAATTGTCAAAACTTGTCGGAAAGCAAGGGGAAACGTAATTTAGTTCAATTTAACACCTGCCAAGGAATCGCTACACACCAATTTCAATGAAACTTTGCGAATAGACGAAGAAACCGGAAGATATTAGACTTTAGCTTACAGAATATTCAAACAACCAACTTTCCTTTGACTTTCTGTTTGTTCGGAGGGAAACGAGGTACTTTTGTTTAACGAAAACATTGAAATACAATTTTCTTTCTTCTGAATTAACAAGTTTGATCTTTTATTCTACTTATGAAAAGCATCAAATACGGATTTAAAGATACAATAAATTAAATGTACCATTTTTAAACGAAAGAATTTCATGTATTAGAAGAGCAATATAAAATTTAAAAAATGAAAATAATATAAAGTACGGAATTAAATTAAAATTAGTACTCTCTCCATGGTCCGTCGTCCGAGGGTTCAAGCTTAATTTGATGAAAAAGGCTACATAAACGTTTCGTAATTAAAGTTGGTTGATTAATTATTTTGATTTACTTTAGTTAATTACATTATAGTTTAAAAGAAGGGTAATACAATAGCCTCGGAACAAAATGACCAACTGTTATTTTCGTAAAATTAGACTGTCACATTTTCAAGAGAAACCTTTCGGGTTATTCTTGTAGTTGTGTCAGATAATGAGTCACGCTATGAAACGACCAATCAGTTCGTCAGATTTTAAAGGTTTTTGTATGTAGTTGTCATTATAGACACATGTTAAACATGTGTATTCGTTATGTCACTTTTGCTGATGAATTTTGTACATATCGTTCATAAAATATCTCTTCCATGAAATGCAGAAAAATATGAAAAATTTGATAAAATTGATCCAAGATAAAAATTTATTTTCGGTAATTTGAAAATATATGAATCTGTTAATTAACCAAATACTGTTGCTTTTTCAATTCCTGTTTACATGTTAAAAAAAAAAAATTCCAAAAATTTGTTAATGCTGATGCAGGCCTGTATTGATTTTAATTTCGTTTGCTTTCTTCGGGAAAAAAGATAATTATTCATTGGATTTTCTAGTGCTCGATTTTAGTAATTTACCGGACGACTTTTAGCATGCAAATGGGTATTGAGTTTCCATTAAAGCGAGCAGCAGTAAAATCGCCATCTCGAAAAGTAAAGAATTTCGATTACCTGTAATTAAATTATCGTGCCTGATAACGCTTGTTGCGAAGCTTTCTCTGAAAGGCGACGATTAATGATTTTGCAAAATTCATTAAGAAGAATAATAATTTGGTCGATAAAAGGTGTCCCATCGGAGAAATTTGATAGTAATTCGAGCAGGGTAGAAAATACCACGTCAATTGGGCTCAATTTCGCAATTTAATCCCTGAGAATTTTCGAAAGCTCGTTGAAAAGGAAAACAAAAAAAGCATAAGTCTCCATAAAAATAGACTGGAAAGTTGTTGGAGAGCATGGCATCTCGAAACCTGACGCAACACACGGTAATTAAAATTTCAGCCTGCTCTAGACAAATCTTCACCGTCTGTTTTCATCAGCGTGCAGGATGCTAACGAAAATTGCGAATGTTCATTATTCTCTACCTTATTAGAATCGTAGTGGGGGATTAATAATTTAGCAAAAGTAGGTCATTATTTCTGGGTATTAATTAACGGTAACCGACGTTCGTTACTTTTCCTCAATATAACTTGTAGGTTTATTTATTTTATTTTATTTTTTTTTTTTCGACTCCAGCAGGTACAATAATTGGGTGGAAATAAATTAATTATATTTCTCTGATTGTACGCGGAGAATGTTCAAAAGAAAAATATTAATTAGGAAGGCAGCTAATTAATTAGATATATTTGATAATTATTGTAATTGCAGAAATGAAATTAAATGAGAGATTGTAATTTCCTTAAAATAAAATTAAGAGTTATTTTATCAGCCGTTCTTAATTGTTATCGGTGTAGCTTTTCTGTTCCGGCAGAAAATCATATTTACATTGTTTATCAGGGAATGCGTGTACGCGTTTTGCGTTATTCTTTCGCAAAGAGAGCGTTCGTTTAATCAGAGATATCTTTGAAATAATATTACAGAAATTCTTGTAGATTTTAATCAAATTAAAACGTCGATTTTATAACCAGCTTTCACCGGATTTAATCTTCTGAAACGGAAAAGAAATTTCCATTTCCTCTTGACCATTTATTTAATTTTCCGTGGCCCACATGCTCGAGTAAATATCAGAGTTTGACACAAATTCTCGTAGGATTTAGGTAAATTCCAAAGCTTTTGACCTTATCGCTGAATAAGGAAATTTTATTTCCCTGCAGTGACCACTAAATTTCTGTAGATCCTTCCTAAATGAAACTAAACAACGGCTCTATTGTTACTTTGCTGATTTATTGGTTTCATTAAATAGAGAGAGAGAAGAGATTGTTAAAATTCTCACATTTAACACTTTGATTGTTCTAGTCGAATTTTTATTGAATATAGTTCAACATTGTTCGTTGCAATCTGCAACCAGCCATTTTGTATCAAGGATTTTAAGGGATCGTTTATGTACCCATTTTTATTAGATTTTGAGCTTTAAATTGATGTATCATAAGTGCTATTTTGCAATACTTTTCCGTCATGAAATTACATCAGACCATGAATAAAAAAAAATACATAAGAAATTTTGAAGGTTGAAAAATTCTAAAGTTCTATTTTGGAAAGTTTCTAAACTACCCTTTGGTGTTTGTTCCTAGCTCCACGATTGGATTTGGACAGTCCGGAAAGCGGATACCATGGCCTGGTGAAGGAAAACGAAACTCTGGTCGAGGTTACGCCACAAATACGAGCCATAGGTGCTAAAGTATGCTCCTTCCGTATCGCGAACAAACACCATGGCGAGGCGCCGTTCGAGATCGTTTTGAAAGAGAAAGGAACCGCCGAGCTGAGAGCACTTCGAGTTCTGAACTGCGAGAAGCGGCGAAACTACAAGTTCGATATCGAAGCCGTCGGCTGCAACGGATCGCTATCGGAAAAGTATGAACCTCCGTCGAATCTGATTCGATCTACCTTCAATAGAAGGTGTCCCGAAATAGGTAGTAACATAGACTGATAAGTTATATACACAAGGTGTCCTGCACAAAAGGGGTCAAGCTATGCCTTTAAAGCAGAGTAGAAAATAGATAGAAATAAATAGCATTGAATGTAACATCACCTGATGTAAGATTTGGATCAAATCAATGTCTTCAAATTTATATGTTCCCCTTAAAAGTGGTAACTTAACACGTTCGGGTTCACTCGGATAGATCTATCCATTCCAAAGAGGGGCAAAGATCAAAGTGGTAGTAAAATCAGAAAATCTGATTTTCAAAAGGAAGATAAGAACCTGAATCCTCAGACCAGGGCTTCAGAAATATACATATTTCATAAAGTGTCTGGGTTAGGGCACTTACCCCAGTCTCGAACGTGTTAGGATCCATAGATTCTTAAATCCTTAATCTTTTCATTTATTTAATTTCGTTCCAGTGCTACGGTCCACATCACGGTGGTGGACGTGAACGAGTACGCCCCCCAGTTTCTGCAACCGGCCTATGTCAGCACGGTGGACGAGGGTCGTCTCTACGAGGAGGTTGTCCGCGTCGAGGCCTCCGACAGGGACTGCACCCCGAAATTCGGTGACGTATGCAAATATGAGATTTTAACAGCAGATCAGCCGTTCATAATCGACAACGAGGGAGCGATACGAAACACCGAGCCCCTGGACTACGAGCGTTCCCATAACTACATCCTGAGCGTGGTGGCGTACGATTGTGGCATGAAACAATCGGCACCGGCCATGGTAACCGTTAAGGTCAACCGTGTCTGTGCGCCTGGATGGAGAGGAATCCCAGAAAGGGTCGACTACGCAGCCGGCGTCGGTTCCCAACCTTTGCTTCCTTCCGCCAGATTGGATCTCTGCGATGCTCCTTGTATATTGCGCAACGTAAGAGCCACCTTAACTCTCGCCACGGACCATATAGGGAAAGGATGCGACCGTGACACGTACGGTGTGCGAAGTCAACGTAAATTGTGCGGTGCATCGCGGGACAGCGTGGATTTATTGCCAACCCCCGGGCCTACGACATCCTGGACAGCGTCTCTGTCTCGCGACGAGGGCAGGGAGGCGGACGAGATCTTCGAGTTCGACGGCGTTGACTCGGCTGCTATCATACCCAGCGACGTACTCGAGCACACCTTGGCGCAGAAGTTCACTATCGGTGTCTGGGTGAAGCACCGACCTCGTCCCAGGCAGGATCCTCACGTGAAGGAGCACATCTTGTGCGCGGCCGATGATCACAGTAAGTGGATGTTCCTTTATTCCTTTTCAGGAGGACGCCTCGAACGATTGATCGAATACGAAACGTCTGAATTGCAGAGATGAATAGACATCATTACGCCCTGTTCGTAAGGAACTGCCGGTTAATTTTGCTGCTCAGACGCGACTTCTCGGAGGGCGATCCCAACATCTTCCGGCCCGCCGAATGGCGCTGGAAGCTCGCACAAGTGTGCGACGACAAGTGGCATCATTACGCCGTTCAAGTCGATTTCCCTCACGTCACCTTGTTCGTGGACGGGGAAGAGTGGCATTCGGACGAGAAGAATCCCGAGGTGATCGACGATTGGCCTCTACATCCCGCGAAGGGAGTCAACACGACCCTGGTCGTCGGCGCGTGCTGGCAGGGATCCGACAATAAAACCAAACATCACTTCCGTGGCTACCTGGCCGGCCTGTCGGTTCTAGTAGGACGAAACGAGAAACCAGACGTACTTTCTTGCCTGCGTCGCTGCCAGGAAGGTATCCACGTGCCGTCGATGGATTTGCTGCAACCGGGCACCCAGTTGCTCACCAATTCCGACCTAACAGAGGTACGAATCGACGGGGACAATCGTACCAACGTCGAGACGCTTCTCCGTCGTATCGGTTATTCCAACTCGAGGCGGTTCCCTACCCCGGGCCGTCGCAATTTCCGTTTAGAAACGACCATTGTATGCGAGGGTAGCGAGAACAATCCCCTCCCGGTCCCGACCGTTCAGTCCTACGTAACAGTCTTACCGCCACCGCGTCCGGGTATCGCCGTCAACGGAACCGGCTACGTGGCCAGGGAGTACGCAGACTTTCGTCTAGGTGTGCGAGTGTTCCCCGACGCCCGCGTCACCGCCGGTTCCGCTGCCAGGCTGGACGCGTGCGCGGTCAGCGTGTACCCGAGCCTGAATCCCGACCACGAGAGCTTAGGTCTACCTGGCGATGCTCTGCGTAGATTCCGCTCTATAACAGCTCGCGTTGATCGAGACGGTGTTGTTCTCTCGGGCGCCGACACGCCTTACAACTATCAACAGCTGATCCGTCTGATCATGTATACGAACCGGAAGCCAGCTTACTACCTCGACCGTGTGTTCAAACTGACCTGCTCCGAGCTAAGCGGACGTTTCGCCAGCAACGAGTACGTGCAGACCCTAGCAGTCATTCACCCGAAGGAGAAGACCACCGCGATTCCTCACTCGACACCGGACGACCCGCCGATAGCTAGAATCCTGGAACCAATACCCGGACACGTGCAGCTCTCCCCTCATCACGCGGACCTGCCGGAAGAATACGCCACTGCTGCTCTTCGCGACGGCTACAGGAGCATCGGGGGAGCGGGCGGTAGCCACGCGGTCACCATCGTCGCGGCTGCCTGCATCTGTTTCCTACTGCTGATGGCGGTGGTCGGTGCGGCAAGGGTCAGAGGCGCCGCGAAGAGGCGATCATCGGCCGGCGACGAGTTGGCTGCCGAGACCGAAATGGCCTGGGACGATTCCGCTCTGGCTATAACCGTGAATCCAATGGAGAGGCTCACCGAACAGGATGCCCATCATCAGAGCCAGAGAGACGAGGACGTAGACGATTCCGGAAGTTCCGACTCCGAAGACGGATCATATAGAGACGACGATCTTGATAGCTCCGATTGCGAGAACGAATGCGAGCTGAGCAACGGTCGGCATCGCCATCACACTTCGCCTCATGACTTGGAATGGGATCATCGTGACGTTTAAATTACTATTCCTCTGCATTCGCCATCCCTCCCCCCTCCCAACCCCTTCTTCGTATGGTGATTAAGTGGAGTACTAACTTACTATCGTTTACCATCGTGTTCCCTTTAAACCGATCATTATTGTTTCGTTCCTTGTGACGCTTCGTAATCGCATTCAGCATATCTATACCGCTAATTCGATCAGCGATATGATCTTAACGATCGGGCTTGAACGGTTTTAATATTCAGCCGCGTTTTCAATGAATATTTTTCTCGCCAATTAATCTGATATATTCCTAATATATTATATATATATACATATACATATAAACACGAAAGCGTCGTATTATATCCGTCCCCATAGATGACATTGGTACCGTGTAAAATGTTAACGCACCAACTAGTTAGTACTCTCCTTAAAAGCCAGCAAAATTTGTAAGAGAGTGCGGGACGCTTTATCGAATAGTTAAACACTTTCTATCTACAACATGTCATTGGTGTTGTTAGATGAAGGATACACACGTGAATGAAATACTTAAGTTCACCGGGATGTATCCCGGTGAACGTCTGGAAGCAATTAATTTATATTTGTCACTCATTAACGCTAATTATTATTATTATTATTATTATTATTACGGTTACTATTATTACGAGCATTATTATTTTTATTATCGGTAGCAGTAGGACGAGGGAACTTCTTTTTATACTCTCAATTATCTTCATCTATTTTTATTCAATTAATTGTTATCAATTTTACTAATGCTGACTGTATTCGCTGCTATAATTCGATTACGATTTCCTTTTAGACAACGCAGGACCAGCCCGATAATTTGATCTGAACGAAATAATTCTCTCCCTTTTTTTTTCTAATTGGACCATTGATCTCAGAAATGTATATTTTTAAATAAAAAAAAAAAAGAAAGTTCAAGCTGATAGATCCTTTCAGTATTAATTAAAGATATATTTCTAATCCATAACTCGGGCTGTACCTGCACACACACTTGCCCAATTTTCCATTTATTATTTTTCTTTTTAAGCGAGACCTCTAATTATAATTTGCACAATGTTCCTTCCTGATCAATTTACAAAGGGAAAAAAAAAAGAAAAGAAATATGAAACTCTTAGCTCTTAGTAAGGACATTGTCGCGCATCTTATGATAGTGCTTCACCATTAAGTACGGTATAATATCATATCCGTATACATGTGTGCGCATGCATATAGATTTGTATTGGGAGCTCGTCGCGTATACAGACCAGTCGCGAAGGTACATGTGTATGTGCATGAGACACGCGTGCTTACATTAATATACATACAGTGTCCGATCATTATTCTGTGGTGAGCGAATGATAGATAGGACCGTGCGGATTTGAAAGGATGATTTCTATTCGAATGGATAAACGCGCAGGTTCGATCGGGCCCGGCTGGTATCGTTTGTTATTTTCCGAAAAGGATTATCGTGCAATCAATGCTCGTTTTTATAGGGAAACTGATATTTTTACGTGCCTTTACGCGACTATGTATATGTTGAATTCTACTCTATATTTTAATAGCGAACACTCGATGCTGATTATCCCGTGTCAGTATCTCGCATGTTAAGCGTACAACTCTCGAGATTCACTCGGGAAGTAACTGCTCTACCGTTGTTGTATTTTTGAAACAGTGACTGTTGATAAATGGCATAGATGTTAAGAGACATACGCATGGGGGGAGAGACAACGGTCGTTCGTTCATCAAACGATTCATTTTATATTTAACTAAAAATATGCATCATGTAATCTCGGTGATGGTTTTTAGTTCTAACGAACGATCGGTTTTGCTGAAACGAATGACCGGTACGTGCAATGATCCGCAGGGTATTAATTCTTGGACGAATGATCTCGCGATTACTGCGCATTGATACTCGCTACGAAGTAATGAAAGGATGTTGTTGTATGTATTTAGAGTTATACCGACCGATCGAATATTTAGTACTGAAAGTTTGTGTACGGATATCTATATTCATAGAAACTATATGAACAATTTATTTTTCCAACGAGCATATCATATCATTTTTATAAGAGATTCGTCGGACGTTTGAAAACTGTTTTCGTAAGAGCTCCTACATAGAAACTCTTTAATCGTGATGTTACTTGCCATATAATCGCGAATTCTGTTCTATTGTTTTATTACGATTTATTAAGATACGCGCGCTATCTTCACGCAGTTTTAATTTTCTTTTTTCCTTTTTTTTTTTTTTTTTAATTTAAAAAGAGAAAGGGATTCTGTTCGATGAAGAACAGAAAAGCTCCGATCGAAGTGTCGCGATGTAAAAGAGAAATGATAATCGTGAAACGTATTTTATTGTTTTTATTCCGTTTTTCGAATGCGCTCACATGCGACACACGTGTATGCGCACTTCGTTCGCAAGACCAGCTGAAACACTATCTCGTGAATTTCGAATCTTTCATCTGTTTTTCTTGATCCTCGGTTCGTAGTTGTTCGTATAAACGCAATTGAGTCTCGATGAGATCGATCTGAACGCATTTTTTGCTTGTGTACGGTGTAAAATGATCCTATTCGAATGATTCGACTCCTTTTTACGGGACTACTATAGTCTATATTATATATATATACACGTACATACATACATACACATATACACACTCATCAAAGACCACAATTGACCGATTCCTTTTTCGATCGCACAATGCAACGCCAGAAAGACATGTTCTCGAGTCTTTTTTACACGGCATTTGAAATAAAAAAAATGAAATGAAATGTACGAAATCCGATAACTGCACAAAAGAAGAGACAAAAAAAGAAAGAAAATAAGAACGCTGGCTTTCGAGATATCAAGAGCGAGAAAATTTGAATCGCTGTACACTGCGTGGCGGAAGTCGTTATCGACGAGTACAGGAAAGAATCAATCTCCTATTACTCGGTCTAACGAGTCGTTTGAAGCTAGATACATATATGTATCCGTATGACGCGTTTTCCTTGACTGCTGAACAGAGAGAACGACACCGTTTGCAACCTAACTAAAAGGTGTACTCACCTGCTCTAAAGATGTACTTAATTATTATTATTAATTGTATGGAAAGAGAAGAAAAAATGAGGAAAGAAACTACGCAGAACAAAACCAACTAGATGATACTATTATAATATATAAATATATATTATACATAAAAAAAAAAATATATCTAAGCTGTTTGCAAATGATTGATTTAAGAGGGGAAGCGAAAAGAGAAGAGACACAAGAAAGAAATGAAGCTATGAATTTGTAATGTACTATTGTATTTTGTAGGCAGCTAGTGTACGTACACATATACACATGTATCCGTGTATGTATGTTTACGTATATAAAAAAATATATATATACATACTCTTCGACATTTACACGTACCGTTCGCCTAAATAGTCTGCAGAATATTTTCAATTTTACACCGGCCCAGGCTACGGCAGAACCGGAACTTTCCTTCGCGAGCGTCGGGATGGTCACGTGATCGTCCTTGATTCGTGAACGTTCGGTTCCGGTCGTAACGCTTGGTCCGAACTTGTTAGAGCACTTCGGACGCACGGCAGATACACAATAGTATGTTCTCGCCTCTGATTCGTATCGCAACATGTTTATACGTACTTACGTACGTATGAATGAGGATGAAGAAGAAAAGACCAGATAAATTACGTGCGTAGGTACGTGTCTGTCAAGTAAGTGAAATAATTAAGCGTTCAGAGAAAGGCAACAGAAAAAAAAAAAGAGAAAACGATAAACCAATCCTACGGTAACGTTGTAAGAAGTTAAAAGTAATCAACTATACCGATTGTACAGTGTGACCTAAGAAAATTGTACGACTCGAATGTTGTATCTATTTTGTTGGGATACCCTGTACGACTAGGCCGTACACGAGAGGTTACGGACCGACTAAATTCCCTCCCGTTGCAGATTGATTGTGTGTTAACTAATAAGATTAAGTAACGATATAGTACAGTTAAGGAATTTAATTATTATGGATACCGATACTATCTGTACGCTAAGCACAGTTTCAAAGTCAAGTGACATAAAGTAACGGCTAAGAAAAATAAAAAAAATAAAAAAATGGTTATAATATGAGTTCTAAGTTAATCACGTGACACACTGAGTTACTCGGCGCGTCTGCACGCGACGCACAGAAACGTCAAATTAAATTGTTATTCTGCAACTGAAGATCGTTCGACAAGAGAAATATTAGCAATAGTATATTGTACACAGAAAATGAATTAAACATACAGACAGTAAACAGAGATGATAACTCATACGAAACACGTACATACACGGTGACACGACAGAACAGAGGACACGCGCGGCCGCATATACACGCTGCACAGGCTAGGAAAATGAAATACTATCTATAACGACATATTATAAATAACATTAAGACGTCAACTGTATTTGTTTAATAAAGATGTACATTCGAAAGGTGAACCAACTATCTTTACAGCCGATGGGACACGCTAAGTAAACTTGGTAACTTCCCAAGATAAAATGGAAGATATTGATTAAGTTTCAGTTTCAAGCATTTCACGTTTCAATATATCCTATAGGCTGACAGATAGTTGATATTTATTTCTACCCTTCTCGATCTGTAATTATTAAATGTTTTTATTTAATAATGTCGAAGAAATTACGATTTCTTTATGTATATTTTGTTCAAGAAACATTTTATATTTACAATAATAAAATTATTTAATTAAGCATTTAGCAATTATTTTGTTACATGCTTTTAAATTATGATTAATAAGTAAATCTTGCTTTTTATAAAAGTTTGATTTAGGACTTGATCGTATAAATTAAACATTTAAGAGAATAAAAAAATGTTCGTTATAAAGATCAGCATTTTTAAAATTTTTATTAAATAATTATCAATTAACATCTTTTTCACGTGCTTAATACATATCATATATTTACAATTAAATACGATACATATAAAACGTAAACGAACGTTTTTTTCAGTTATTATAAATAATATTTCCATCATTTATTTACTTCTACCCTTTAAAAATAATTTTTAAAATAATATTTGGAACGGTATTTAATCATTAATTAATTTTTCTCGCAAAATTCTAATAATCGAAACTACAATAAATAATAAGCTTCTATTATTTATTTTTAAAAATTATTTTTAAGCATATTTTTTTTCGAGAAGCTTTGACAAATAATTTTATCCATGTGTTAATGAAATTTTGGTCTGAATATTCAAGTGGAAATCTAAAGACCAATTGGATATTCAGACCAGTCGAATATTTTAATATTTTCATTTACGAAAATAATAGAAAATAATGCAACTCCCACAAAACAATAATTGAATGATTGCAGTCTTAGTAATACAGAATCTTATGATGTTAAATTTAATCTCATTACTGTACAGTGAATGAATTAATTGGTATTATCTATAATTCACAATCCTTGTTAATTAGGCTTATGCGTTAAAAGGTCATTAAAACATACCAACAGTGTTTCGATTGATTTGTTAAAGTAACCGACATCAAATTTTAAAAATATAATGTTAATGTATTTAAATAAGAAATTGAAAAAAAAAGCAAAACGATAAGTACTGCTCGATTGATTTTAGACATGAAATAAGAATGTTATTAATATTATTGTTTCCTTTTCGTATCAAACAAGTGTTCCATTATTAGAAATACCGCACTGAAATTTTCTTACTTGATTTCTATGCCGTGTATTTACTGCAGACAGCAGTTTGTGTCTCAGTATCAGCAAACGATGATTGTCGTTTGTTCACTGCTATTAGGTGAAAATAATTTAATATTCTCTGCACTCCAATATAACAGCGCGCTTTGACACACCACGCTCCACACATAGGGGATGAAAAATTCCTCCGGTTGCTCCTCTTCTACATACTTAAATTTAAGCTCTGGAAATTTCTGTAAAATAATTTTTTTTTATCGCTACAGTATTATTTATTCCAAGATAATTCCTGTTGAGTCAATGACCACTAATCGGTTAGCTATAACTCATACCATAATCAGTGAATCACCTAATTGTAGAGTACCTAATTATTATTATAAGAATTAAATTGCACGTACCCTTAGACGATCACGGGGCCATTCACTAGTACCTTGTTGAATTGTATTTAATACTTGGCTAACACCTAATTGCGATTGATCCTTTTGTTCCAACTTATAAGAGAAGAAGTTGATGACCTAAAAGAGAAATATATTCACTCTTACCTGTTTTTTAGTAGCAAGCTATATGTATAAAGTAAAACTAAAACTCACAGAATCTATATTTTGTACAATATCTTGAAATGCAGTGTGCATTCTAAATGGTTGAAAAATATCTTTCTTATATAAAAGTGTATATATTAAGTTTGGATTATGTGCAAGCCTGTGAGTTAAACAACTATTTATAATTTCCAATACCATTCGTAAAACTTCTTCGAGTATTGTTAAATCTTGGATCTGCAATACGATTAATTTCATTTGTACTAAATTATAAATTATTTGATTATGTTACATAGTTTGTTGTAAGATCTTACTAGGTCTGTATTTGCCGTGGTTCCGTTAATTGTAACAGTGGTACTATCGGAAGAAACGAAAGGTTGTGCGCGTATTTTGGATTCCAATCTAGAATGCTTTTTTGCAAGAGTTTCGAATAAACTTAATAATCTTTGACTAACATAAGGATGCAGAGATCTAAATTGCGCTGACATATTTGCTAAAGCTGCTAAACAGTTTGTGTGAAGATATTTATCCTATGGTGTATGAAAAAAAATATTATATTATCTATGTTTATAATTATTTATGAGTATATAGTACACCTTCTTACCCGCATTTTAAACATATTATATTGTATCGTTCTTATAACAACGAGAATTAAAAGACCCCCTAATGATATTTCGCTTATTGATCTTTCCGTATACCAACTTACGCCTTTAAGCATCTAAAAATTGATAATTAATAGATTTATTTTCATCTTTTTTTTTCTTTTTTTTTAATAAAATAGCTACTGATTATTCGTAAAATAACTTACTATTTCGTGTATTCTTTTATTAAACGTTTCATCTTCACTTAAAATTAAAAGAATAATAAGGGACATGTAAATATGATGGGATGTATTATTTGGAGCATGATATAATATTTGAAGTATCGGTGTTACCTGAATAAAAATATCAATTAGAAATTTTATGATACACCTCACCTTTTGCTAAAATTGTATTTGCAGCAACCTAAAAATATTTCTTTTATTTATTAATTATATACTTACCAATAATTGTATATCTGGTCTTTTCATAATGTATTGTTTTACACTTGAATTCCTATGTAATAACATGTATAATAATAACGTGACTTCGTCTGTATTTGGTATATTACATATTGTACTGTACAATTTATTCAAATTAAACGCAAACACGTTTTTTCCTTGCATTGTAGAATAGTCTTCTATAAAAAAATATACGTTTGTTTTCATAATGAATTTGTATCGATACTAGCTGATCAATTCATTCAATACTAGCCTTGCATATCAACGAACGAAAAAAGGGCATTTCTGTAAGGATTTTCCGTCGCGGTACAATGATTTGTTAGAACCAGTAACAATAATAACGATTGACTAGCAAGAGGTGTTTCTGTATCACGTTTTCGTTCTTCGTCTTCCGAAGTACCATTACTCGTAACTTGTACATTTTTCAAACTACTACCCATCCCCATTGTAATTACATTCCATAATCCAGCTGTAATATTTTATTGCATATTACTGAAATGTAAGTTAATAGAATAGAGCAACATAAAACGTGTCCTTTTTATAAACAGAATGATAAAATAATATTAAAATCATATTAATTTAACTATTACACAGTTTCTAATTTGAATTGCTCTACAATAGAAAATTATAATACACCAACAGTTTGCATACTGAAATATATAATTATTATTTCTAATATAGAGATGGTATAATGTGATACTATTAAACATACCAGCTATACTGAAAACTATGCTTCCTCCTGGTTGTTGTGTAAGAAAACCTGGAGGAGCATGTTCTTGCTGTACAAAATTATGCAATAACGTACACACCACAGCTGGTGCATGTTCACTATAATGCGAATGCATTGCTATTCTGTAGATGCAGCTGTATTCAGCTGCAGTTTGTGAAAATAGTTGCACAGAGAGCAGTACAAGTAAGCAATTTATTGCTTCTAGGTGAACAACATATGTGAAGTCAGCACTAAAACAAAATTTTTTGTATCTCATTATGTATGTACATAAAACAAAATCTACCCTTCACAATCATCCTTTGAACTAGAACCTTAAGAAAATGTTTAATTAACAAAATAAGTGATATAAATTTATTGTAAGGTACTTACGACAGTGGTACCTCTGTTATGATGTCTACTAATGTTTCAAATAGATCTTCTAATCTATAAGAAGAATTTGATTGTGTTGGTACAGGTAACTGTGGTGCTTCTATGTGCTTTACCATTTCTTCTTCACCAACTGTTTCAATCAAATACTTTAGTATACATCTTATTGCAAACAATGCCTGGTATGTCTGCCAAGCTGATGTGATTCTGTAAATCATTATATGATTACATTTTTATTTCTAATCTTGATTATAGAATGTTGAAGTAAAAGATATCATACTTTTGATTTTGCATTGATGCTAACAGGTTGCTAGCACGTGCAAGGGCAACCTGTATTAGACTACCAAAATTGCCAGTGGTCAAATTGTTAGCAAGTAACTGCTGACAAGAAGAATCCAGTCTAGAATCTAACTCTATCTGATCATTTCTGGTAACAGGTGGTTTGATATTATACAATAAGAAAGTATCCCAAAATGGATCATTTGGAAGAATACTCTTTTTCCCACAAAATTTTTCCAAATAGACATTCTTAGACAGATCATCATATCGACTTGGCGTTGCACCCATTGCCTTCCCTTAAATTCCTGAAAGTAAAGAATGTATTGAATGTTTCCAATGATTAATATAATTAAATATATTTATTCACTTTCACAATATTTTATATTTACACTAAGAATACATCTTTTATAATTTTACGTTATTATGGTATAAACTTTTATTTCATAAATGATATGTAATTATAATTTTGAATGATCGATTGTATCGAAGCAGGCAAAGAAGCATTTTAATCGTATAAAAACACTTATCAACATACTTTGACAGCCTACTGTCATAGAAGCTCAATAGTAGGATAACGGTTACTAGCAATGGAGATTGGTCTTATACACTATCGCTCTTATAGTTTTATGTTCTTTGCGTGGAAAAATTATTACAAAACTCTTTTACAAGCTGTTTGTTAGTAACGTGAATATCATCAGACACGAAGAAATATAACCTCTTCGCATGTCAACCAAGTACTTTCCGAATATATAGATAAATCATAATGAGCGCCATCTTCGCAATTCATTGAATATACAAGTTCAATTATTTAAGGACATAACAATTTGCAATTAGATTCAATTCTACTGTAAATGTAATCAAATCTAATAAAAAAGATAAAATTCAGGTTTTGTATATAAGATATAAAAACAAGTTCCAAATTATTAACAATTTTTAAAGTGATCGTTCCTGTAAGTTCGAACCGTCGACCTTATAATTATTTGTAATCAATTAATTACTAGCTAGATCCTTACAAAACCTTTACCTGAAAGTTATTAAGAATCAATCATAAAAATTCATAAATTGTTCGTCAAAAATAAGTTATTAATGATTTTTCCTTTCGCTATCAATTATTAAAAATTTGACAACGTCAAATTCGCATGATTTTAAACTATAAGATAAAATATATTTATATTTTAATTTTAATTAATAATCCTGAATATATTTTAAATATACTATATAAGATCATTTATTTAAAAAAATAAATGAATCAGGAAGAATAATAATCAAACATTTTACTAACAGTCACTATAATTTATATGTTTTTTAAATTACAGACTGTTATTAAAATGGATCGTCATAACGAATTGTTGCAAACTGACGAAGTGTACGCTAATTGTATAGATATGATACAAAATTCTGTCATAAGAATCCGACAAGAAATAGTCCCAATTAAAAAGTTCATCGGTGATCGTAAAAAGGAAATCGTTAAGTTTAGGTTTGTTTAGGACAATCACGTAAAATGCTCCCCAATTAAGTTTTCTTTATTTGTAAATAGTGCAAAGGCTAATAAATCCGAGCAGTACACGTTAGGGTGTACACGAGCCTTCTACGAGTACACGTTGAAGGAATTGATGAGCATGGAAGAAGCATGCGAGGAGTGCATTCTAAAGTTAAAGACTGATTTATTAACTGCAACGAGGGATCGCATGCAACCACCGTCTTACCTGTCCAGCAAGGAAATGAACAGAAGCTACGAAATATGTTGCGACGCATTGAACCAGCCTAACGACAAAGTGTCCTGCTATACTTGGGAAAATATACCCGAATGGAAACTCGAGGACACTCGAAATATTATATCGAAACCACGAGAGCCCATGAGGACTCAGTTCGACGAGTCCGATTTGAAGTTCAAACATGATATGGTCTACCTTAGGTCGCAAATGCTCTCTTTACCAAAAAAACGAATTGACTCGTAGGTAACTCTTTCTAATTTCATTTAACCCTTCTCAGAAAATATAAACATTGAAATTTACCAAAATGTGAAATATTTCACTATAATGTATCAATATACAAATTTTTTCAAGTACAAATAAAATAATATTTCTAGAAGTGGTAATGAAATCATTTCCGAGTCGATCGACAGCTACGAAGACCGATCAGCCGTCAAGCTTTCCTTGCATCCAAAAGGTATCATGAAACTCCTGAACAGAAAAGAGGTAGTACATCATTCTGTCCTAGAGGAATTATCCAAGGTGGGAAGCTTGAAATTCGTCGACGGCCATCACAAGAATTCCAACGTTTGGTTGAAGATATTGGACGTTTATGGGAATCAATACGGATCCAGATGGAATTTAATTGTTCGCCCTCAAATAGAACGTATAATAAAGAAACGTCAGATACCGGTGTTACATCTGAAACCGCGTGAAACTTTCAATTTCCTATCGAGCATCAAGGGAAATGAAACGGACATCGTATTGGAGAGGCAAGATTTAATCGATCTGTTAGAAAATAAAACGGAAGCCACTTGGCTGGAAAGCTGGGAATTGCAATTTCGTACGATCGAAGGGGAGCATATAGCTGCGACCCTGATACAAGCCCGATGGCGTGGTTACGTGGTAAATGATATTTCATTGTTAATAAACAAAACGATAAATACCTGTGAAATGAAAAAATAATTACAAATGAAAAGAGGATGATTTTATATAAAAAGAATAATTCTAAATCTTTCATTTCTTATTCCCCAGCTACGGAAAATGAAACGAGAATCAGATCGCCTCTACATAGCAGCAAGTTACCTATGGTTCACCTGGATGAACCTGAAGCAAAAAAAGGAGATCCATAAACGTTACTTGGAACAGATGTTGATCTCTTTACAAACCACACGAGAACTTTCCTTAAAATTGAGCAAAGAATTTGATTCCATGATCTTACAACCCCATGTCGTCATCCACTTACCATCCATAGGGAATCCTTTGGAGGTACGCCAGTCTTTCGATCCGATAACCTTTCGAATTGTACAAAATATATCAAGCTTAAGAATATCCATGGTTCGTAACCCAAAAACAGAAATAATTTACATTCTACCGGTGAAACCTACAGAAGACTTATTAATGATGTACAGCGACTTCATCGAATCGATGTCTCCCTCTGAAGATGATGCTAAAAGAATCACATTCATAGCTCTGTCTCAGTTAGAAACCTTCAAGCATCGTCCTATAAACACCTCCAGAATCCTCCATTGTTCTGAAGATACTTTGGAAGAGATCAGAAAAAAGATAGCCGGGAAATCAGCTTACTTCTTACCCTGGCACGTTGACGAATGCGATATGAGGCTGGCTGGCAGTCTGGGCATCCCTCTGTTGAGTCCTGACATGGAACTGCAACGTACGATGTTGAATTCATCAAAAGTGGCCGAGATGATCGAGAAATTTGGACTACTTCAGCCTATACACGCTAGGGACATAAAGGATTATAAGACTCTTTGCTCGACCATGGCTGATTTCATTGTTCGCCACACGGAGGTCTGCATATGGCTGATCAAATTGAATTATGCGATTCTGGATAAACATTCTGGGATTTTTTTAATTAATCATATAAGTGTACCGTTTATGCCACTGTTGAGGAAGGAAAGGGAGAAACATGGTGACGCTTGGATGGAGAGTCCCAGTCTGAGGGAGGAGTTTCATCAGAAATTAATGGTACATCTACCGAAGGTTGTTTCCTATGTCACGCGACTGATGAAATCCTATAAATCTTGGAAAGAGTTCTATATGCAAATTCAGAAGTATGGGTGCTTGCTGCAAGCGATTCCTATGGAGAAAGATTCGAACACCATCTCGGTATCGCTGTTCCTTTCTGGGAGAGCAACTGGGAAGCAGCCTAGGTGGATTGGAACTGCTGATAAGCTAAATTTGGGTATATTATTGGAAACTCATATATCATTATTAATTTATAAAATACAGAAGAAATTTAAACTCTCTTCGAATTACAATCCTTAAATTTTTAAACCGAGCATCCTTGAATTATTTAAAAATTTACTGTCTAATACTTTATTGATTTTTCATGACAGGTTTAGAAGCAATTTCGACCTTCATGTACATGATGCCACAAAGTTCGTTGGACATCAAGAAACTAGAAAGCAGTGTTAATAAATTTGCAATGGGAATGCAGGACGAGGGTTACTTTGGTTATTTAACCGTAGATTGTTATTGCTACACTAACAAGTTTGATGATAAATTCGTGGTTTTGATGCAAAATGTGCGTCCCTGTTATTCTTTTGTGCAAAGTTACATTGATTGGATGAAATTTGCGATTGGAGGAGCATACAAGTAATGATTCAAATTTATTTGGTCTTTAATAACGATACTGAACTGAAGATGTGAATGTTGAAATAGCTCCCAGACAAATCAGTTCATCGCTGACGTACCTGTAATCCCAGATTCTCAAAGAAGAAAATCCTCAATTTTATATCCCCACAAATCACCTGAATGGAATGAAACCAAAGAAAGATGTGGCGTCATAATTGGACTATTATACGATACAAGACTCTCTGGTTATCGATGGTCCCAACTTAGAAATATTTTCGCACAATGTAATGTACGTTTATTAGCTATGTAATAGCAATTTTCATTGAATTTTAAGCTTTAAAATGATGTACCATTAATGTCATTTCATGATACTTTTATGTCATGAAATTATCTTAGACTTTTTACTTGATGTAATTCAACATTGTTCGTTGCAATCCGCAACTACTCATCTTGTGTTAAGGATATCGTCAAATCATTTATGTAGCTGTTTTCAGCAGATTTTAAGCTTCAAATTGATATGCCATAAGTACCATTTCATGATACTTTTATGTCATGAAATTATCTTAGACTTTTTACTTGATGTAATTCAACATTGTTCGTTGCAATCCACAACTACTCATCTTGTGTTAAGGATATCGTCAAATCATTTATGTAGGTGTTTTCAGCAGATTTTAAGCTTCAAATTGATATGCCATAAGTACCATTTCATGATACTTTTCTGTCATGAAATTGTCTCGGAAGATTTTTCCGTATCAAAAGGCGAAAATATTTTTAAATTAACTTCTATTTATTTCTTTCTCTCCAGATCACGTTCGATGCAAAAAAGAAGCAAGGTTCCAGTATAATTTTACACGACGACGAAAGCCGAAATTTCGGTCTGATGATGGCTGCCAGTCCTAGCATGGCAGTCACATTATCCACGCTACATGATCGTTTAGCGAAAATAAATGTAGCTCTTGCTACGAAATCAAAGAGGAAATATGAGTCGAATTTACCGTCGCTTATCGATTTCTTTGGTCGTTTGGCTGTTGACTATGAAAATTTAGCTCTCGATGAGTGCATACCCGCTATATAAATTACCATCTGTAATTACTTCATTAGCCTACTAAGAAAAATAAATAAAATTTTCTAAACTATTCAAATGAAAATTCGAAATTATTGTCAATAGTGTATTAATAAAAAAAAAAGTCTTGAATGCTGCTACGTTCAGTATTTTCAAAATGGAACGTAGGTTATGACATCACGGTGATTAATTAATTACTTAAAAGTGTACTGTAGACGATTATTTTCAACCGACGAAGTTTAATAATCAAAATATGATTCGATGTTATTGATAACTAACAATGATGATCGTAAAGTATCCCCTTTCGTCAACTTTATCATCGGTGGATTATCTGGGTAAATGACTATATTAAAAAGAATTTGCAATGAAAAATATTGAAGTAAATGTTACAGTGCCGCAGGGCAGACTGCCACCCATCCGTTCGATGTGTTCAAGGTACGAATGCAAGTATCGAAAGCTTCATTGAGTCAAACGATACGCGTTTCTTTGAAACACGTTGGAATACAAAGTTTTTACATTGGTTGGACTGCTAGTATTCTTCGTCAATTAACATACAGTACTGCTAGGCTTGGAATGTATACCACGTTGTACGACCTTGCCCAGTGAGTAAAATCAACCATAATACAACTTTTTGTAGATAATTAATATTTAACTTATATGTTACACAATTGAATGTTTAATAATTCAGAGGATACTTTGGACGTTTGAATTATCCTACGATGGTCAGTATTGGAATGTTGTCTGGTGTCGTGGGCGCATTTGTTGGAACCCCAACCGATTTGGTTCTGATTCGTATGATAGCCGATGTAAACTTGCCTCCAGGTAAAAGGGAAATTATATAAATCTTTATAAAACTTGGAAAAATCGATTGGATTGAAGGACGAATTTTTTAGAGAAACGAAGGAATTATAACAACGCGATTGTCGGGCTGATAGACATTTGGAAAACAGAAGGTACACGTGGATTGTGGAGAGGAGCTGTGCCAACAATGACCCGAGCTGCGATCGTGAATGGAACACAGCTGGGTACATACAGCAGAGCGAAGTTAATGTTGATTGATACAGGTATACGTAAATTATACCATTTAATTTACAGTTTTACTAATTATATTTAAATTGCTGGTAGGTCATTTCGAGGAGGGTGTAATATTGCAGTTTCTTGCGGCTATGATATCCGGCCTGGTGATGTGCACAGCCTCACTTCCGGTGGACGTAGCCAAAACTAGGTAATTATAATCTAAATAATAGTATTGATAATTAGTTGCTGCGGTGATTGATTTCAATGCTAATATCTGGATCAATGGTAATTATCTATGATTTAAAGTTTTAAAGCAGACTTCGTTGCTTTATTGATTATTAATTCTTTATCTCATATTTTAAATCAATATTTCATATGTGAATATTATTAGAATACAAAATTGGAATTTACCAACAAAACCGCCAGGAATTGTGGGTATGATGATTAGCATCGTGCGGAATGAAAGTGTAACATCGTTGTGGAGAGGATTTTTACCTTATTATTGTAGAGCAGCACCCAATGCTGTAATAACTATGATATGTATGGATCAATTGCATCGTATGTACCTTGAATTCTTTAAACCGTCCACTGAATAAAGGTCTTATTATCTCATATTTTAATGGAGTGTAAATTTATTAAAAGGTAAGAATTTTTAACTCTGCTTTATTTTATACAAATCAAGAAAATTCTCAAACATACAGGTACATATAATTAAAAAAATTTCCAGATATTCAATAATGGCTACGATTTTTTTAAACGACTACATCATGTATCGCCTGTACAGCTTAGTAATTTGTTCATTGAATAATAACGTTAAAACTGTGTGCGGTCCTATTCTGCAGTAGGTGGGCAAGAAACCTTTCCAAAGTGCCAATATACCTTCGTTTCTAGCAATGGATACCATCATTGGTATTAGACCAGGTGGTTTTTTCGTTGTTTTTATAATTTGTACCCTGAAAATATATAAAAATCATTTTCACAATTTGAAAATATTATCTCATAAAATGTCTATAAGATTAGCACACTTTAGAATGAAATTACAAGATAATTTCGACCTCATAGCACAATCGAAAAAGGAGAGGAGAATCTATATGCAAAAATGAATAAAAAATGTAGAGTAGTATTTTTTCCTACGAGCTTTGTTTTTAAATAAATCAATATTGAAAATTCATCCGAATTCCTATTATTTAAAAAAACAAGCGTCGCCATCTACTGTTTGATGCTAAAAAAGAGCTTTTTGATCTTGCCAATAGAGGCGCAAAAATTACCCAGAGTTTTAGTTCCAATTTTCGCCACCAGGTAGAGCGGCTAGTTCTTTGGCGCCATTAGTACCGAGACGCTCTTTCGTGCTTAAAAAAGAATAATCAGTTAATTACCTGGTTTTAGCTACATCAAATGGCATGGAATTAAGAACAGTGAGGAATCCTGATAACATTGACGCACAGAAGTAGAGTAAAGGACCATCCGACATCTGCACTATGGAACAAAACATTTTAAGTAAGTAACGTCTATAAAATGACATACAAAGAGAACGAAATAATGCATATGTATATCGAAATACGTTTCGTGGCTATCAACATCTTGATATGACTGTAAGTTGCAAGCTGAGATATATTAACAACGATAGCTCTCCCCATTGTAGCCACACTTCCTCTCCAAAGAGTAGTAACTCCTTCGTCCTTCGCTATTTTACTAAATGCATGAAACACGTTCTTGTAGTTTCTTCTTTGTTCTATGGAAAATAATATATTTCGAATATACTACGAAACAGAGACATAATTTTGATGCATCGCAAGTAAAACGTTTTGAGGTGATCGAAATAATAACCTTTTGGTAATCTGCCATCAGCTGACATCCGTACAAGGGCCACTTCCGCCGGTGTACCGACGAATGCTCCAGTAGCTCCCGCTGTTCCCGCCATTAGCGCCAATACTCCGAAACCAGGACGCTCAGGATGATTGTGTCTAGCAACAATGGTAATCATAATATTTAATTAGTACTTGCAGAAAAATTTTAATTACAGTTTTAGAATAATTTCACTCACCTCCAATATTCTTGTAGTTGATTATATATACCAAGTCTGACGGTAGTATACGTTGCTTGTCGTACGAGACCAGCACTTAAGCCCGAATAGAATTTCAAAATTCCTTCGTTTTTATATATTGAACTAATTATGGACGCGATTGAGGCTTTCTCCTTTTGTACTTGAATTCGATTTTTGATTACATCCATAGGATGAACGAAACAGGTTGCAGCCATGCTAAAAAATCAGGAGAAATTGTTAAATTTTGTGCTTTTACTTAAAATTTAATTAGAGTAATTAGTTAGAAAAATTTATATTTTAAATACCCGCAAAATCCAGCATTTAGGAAAGTGAATAAAGGGGGTAGCTTTCCCGGCTTCTTCTTCTCATCATCACCTTGGTTAGACATTTTGAATATTTAAAAGTTTTCATAATATAGATTTTTAATATTTCTTTAGAGTTGAACCTGTGAAGATAAAGAATTGCTTATAAAATATAATTATTTTACATGAAGATAACACGTGTTAATTTTCATATATTGGAAATTTTCAAAAATTACTTAACTCCATAGTTCTTAAAATTGAAATCCTTCGTTCTTTTTTTTTAAAATATCTTTCAAGATCTGCCAATAGTTATAAATTAACATAACGGTTTTATCTTGAGGTTAAAATTGTATACATAATTTGATTTTTTAAGATAAATCGATTAAAAGGAAAAGTCCGAAGATCGACAACTTCATCTTCTTTTGTTTCAATTCAATTTATTCAATACAATTTACAACATTACATTTTTCGAATATAATTCTGATAAAATACACTATTAAACGTAACGCCCTATAAAATTGCAAAAACATGATCATTTATTAAAATCGTTTAGCAACATTAAAGCATCTAAAAATTGTAAATATATTCTATAAAATATTGTTAGGTTACATTTCTTATAATGTTGATAATAATTCTATTTCAGAAAATTTTATGTTAACAAAGACTAGCATTAAAATGTTCCAAGTGATTCTTGACGTTTCTTCTACAAGTAACAAATCTTGTCTTCAGGAACAAGTTTCGTGCAAACACGTGGAACTCTTCTTTTTTTAGGCTTTGTATCAACCAATGTTTCTTCTCTTTTTTTCGCTGGCAATAGACCCATTTCTTTCTTGCAATCCTTCATTAAAAAGAAAATCAGTAAAGTGAAAATAGGACTCGATAATTATTTATTAAAAAATTTTGAATACCTCCACTGCTTTGAGAATTGGAAACAATGGTCTAACACCTTTGGATTCATTCAACACTTCATCAGCATAATCAAGAACCCTCTTATTTTCTTTATCAATAATTTTTTCACTCATGTCGTTAACTTTATTTTCAGCAAGCTTTTCTTGTTCCTTTTCAGCATCCTTTTCACTCTACAGATATATTAAAAAATAACAAAAACCAACGATACATATTTTGAATACTTACGATATATTTCTTCAACGATTTAGCGTATTCCATCTTTTTATTCCAATTTCGTTTCCGTTCCTCGACTTCCGTTTCTTTGTCGCACTGAGCCTTCTTAAATCTTTGCATCACTTCCCAAGTTTTCAAATCATTTTCTTCTTGAAGAAGCTTCGATTTGGCGATCGCTGTTTCCGTTTTAAAATCTTGCACTTCCTTTTTCATTCTTAGATCACGTTCTTTTCGAATCCTCTCCTTTTCTTGGAATTCCGCCTCTTGCTCTTCCACGGCTCTTTTGAAATTCTTCTCTAAATTGTCTTCTCGAGAGAGTACTAATAACCGGAATTTTTCACCTATTTAAACAATCATAATCCATTATTTAAAATATAGTTGCAAATAAATAGAATTCATTCACCTGTTTCATCTCCTCTACGTTCTCTTTCTTTCTTCTCCTTCAGTATCATCTCCTTATGTGCTTTTCTGATTCGTGCTTTAGCCTTTTGATAAATTTCAATCGCTCGATCTTCGAATGACTCCTCGTATTTAAGTTTCAAATCGAATTGCTTCTTCTCTTCGATCGCGTCTTTGAAAAATTGACTCAGTCTTTGTTTCTTGTTCAACAACTATAAACATATTTACATTTTAGATTTTTACAAATAGAGAATTCAGAAATGATAAAATAACGAAGACTAACTTCTTGCATTTCGCGTTCCTTAGCATCGGCCAAATATTTATTTGTATCTAATAGTTCTTGTTTTTCAGCCTGGAATTTTCTGTTTTCTTCAGCTTTCGTTGATCTTTGAATTTCTTCGATTCTAAGGGTATTAACAAGCATTTTTTATTAGACAATTGCAAGAATTCTTTTTTAAATATTGGTGTACCTACTGCATCCTTAATTCTGTAGCATAATTTCTTCGTTTCTCAAGATAAGCATCCGCTTTCTTTTTCGTTTCTTCTTCATACTTCGCCAGATCATCTCTTAGCGATTTTACATAAGCCCTTTCCGCCTCTTTATCTATATTTTTAATAGTTTCCCGAAATTTAAGTTGTTCCTCCAATTCTCTTAAGCACTATTAGGATAAGATAAAAAATAAAAATAAAACAAAAGTTTTGTGGTGTAGAATATTCTATTATAATTTTTCAAATTTAATTCAAGTACCTCGGAAACCACGAGACCCTGATTAATTCGCCGACACATTGGTTTCCGGTAAAAAATTATTCTTTTCGCTTCTTTTATTATTTCTGCTCTTTCAGCAGCTTTCTTTTCTTCAGCATTTTTAACGAACCGTTCTCTTTCTTCGTCAGCTTGTTTTTGCTTTGCTAGTCGCTCTTCTCTTCTTCTCTTCTTAATATCCTGTTGGAAAAGAAATTTAAATTGTTCTAAAACTTAACAAGAAATAAAGGAATTTGTTCTTTTACCTCCACAGCAGTTGTAAATTTTCTTATTTCTTCATGATTCTCTTTTTTAACTTTTTCATGATCCTCTTTTTTATCTTCTACATCATTCTCTTCTTTAACTTCGTCTGATTCTTTCTGTTCCTTCTCGGTTTTCTTTTCCTTTGTACAGGAAACAGGCTCACAAGTTGTATTTTGAGGGTGTGATACAGGTGCTTTCTTTTTCATGCAGTTCTTTTGTATCTGTGTGTAATTTGTCTATATAGTAATTATTTATAAATTAGTGATATTGAGATTTCACAAAAAATATTACCGAAAGAACATCACTAAATTTAAAATAATTCCATAGATTTAATTTCTATTATTAATTCGAAAAGTTAATAATGATTGACATACTTTAACATTTTTCATTGGTTTCTTTGGTTTCCGGTAACAGACATTAGGCACCACGTGCTGAATGACTTGAGTTTGCACCATAATTGCAATTCAACTCCAACAATGTGTGTTTTAATATTTAATAATGCGAAATACGATTTCTTCCTTTGCTGATGTGATAATAACTGCAGATTACAGTACACACCGCAATCGTTGTCTTGGAAACTGAATTGAAAGCGATCGATAATATTTAATTCTTTAATTGCTTTAATTTTTTCACAAAATCAAAGATGAAATAAAATTTACTTTTAAATTTACAAAAGAAGAATACTCATTTAGGTAATGTAATTTTAAATTGCATTATCGATGCAGTTTTTACTCTGTTGATAATGCAGTTCTCTGCAAATGGAATAAATTTTCTATTTTCTCATGTAAAATAAGAGCATACATATAACATATTATTTATGTTATAATATCCTATATTTCATTTTATTTATTGCATATTTTATTTTAATTTGAAAAATCTCCGTTTCAAGTGTGTCCATAAATCGCCGCAAGATGGCCGCGGAGCGCGGTCGTGCACCTGTGATGACAGCACGTGCTACAGCTGAGTGGCGGTTTCCTTCTCGGAAAAGTGAGTATAATACCATTATAAAAGTGTTTACGGTTTCTTTAGATATACCTAAAGTTCATCTATTGTCGTGACGATTATGTGTTGCGATTCGTTCCGTGAAAAGCCACGGATTATCAACGCGTTACCGCGTTGTTTTCTATTTACTCGATGCTCGCACGTGTGCCGCCAACGCTGCAATAATAAATTGTAGATCGGTAATTAACCTTGGTAGAGAGTTGCGTTTGTTGATAAGAGACGCTTATCACGCATAACATAGAAACGTTCCGTTGGGGAAATCGTATTCCAGCTATGTATGCAAGCATTCTTCGTTAAAGCATCGCTTGGAACGGAGCGGAGTTGTGTTTGCAATACTAACCTAACCCTTTATCCGTGTACGTATGTCGGAGCATCGTTAACTGGCACGCCATAATACGTAAAGAGGATTTGAATACAAGGAATACGGTGTAAGGAACAATATGTGTATTATCTCAGTGCTTTGTTCTGTTATAATTTTCATTATTCTACGGCAATCGGCGACGGCAATGTATCGCAGTTACGTATCGATTGCGATCGATTGCTCTTATCGATTGCGACTGTTGTGTCAATTGCTCTTGCGCGCATTCGAGAGTTAAACGTTTTATTAATTTCACTCTTCGTTTGCTGCAAATATACTATAAAATTCGTATTTTGTTTAACACAAATAAAACTTTGATTGTTTTACAAGGATTAGTTCAATTCAAATTATATTTTATGAGTACCTGTTTGAATAAATAGTTTGATAAAATTGTAATAGTAGAAAATGGCGTACATGAAAGGTGTTTGAATATTTTTAGTATTAATAAAGTAAGTGTTCTGATTTGTTTGAATGACATCAATATTCTTAATATTTTAGGTGAAGGTGATTGGAGGGGAAGGAAGGTGCTGCTCTGATCTCAGGAGGTCCTGATAGGGTGAGTGATCTTTAACTTTCAATTCTTCTACAAGGTTAACAAACCTGTTAATTACAAAATTATTCAAAACATGAAATACTTATCACCTAATAATTCTGATTAACTGATACAATTCCAAGGACGCAATATTTCATTTGCAACTATGCATTATTAGAATATATTAAAAAATTAATTATACAAATGTAGGAATATCTATATTGATTATGGTAATAGAAAATGGCAAATAGGATAAATTTTAGAACAAAAATTTTATCAATGAAACATGTTTATTAAAAATCTAGCATAATTTTCCTACGTCTACAGTAAATATCACAGGTACCACGTTTCTTTATCACAATATCCTCTGCTCGGCCATATACACAAGCAGTCGTCAGTTTCCGATCATTAAACAATCGCGTCGAATCTATAATTCATTGGCCGAGAAGATTCTTATATAACAACGCATTTGGCGGGAAAACGAATCGACGTTTGTATTCGAATCCCTTTGCCGCCAAAATGGACAAAATAAAAACTTTCTCGATAGAACTTATGAAATAAACAATAGAAAATTCTAACCTTCAAGTAAATTAAAGCTTCGAGCCGCATCCTTGTATGCGGGCGTGTCGTTACATCGAGATCCTACTAATACAACGCTCAATTAACATGTACAATCTATGCCCTAACGGACGAAGATATTACAATAGAGAGAAGAAAAAAAAGAGAACAGATAAGTTTCTTTCACTTCGAGTGTCTTGAGCAAAATTTTAAGTCTATCCTTCGAACCATCCCGTCCGAATCGAAATCCTCTTCTCCGTCACGACGTTCGTCTCGAGGATGCGCGAGTAATTCGCTCAGATCACAGAGAAAATTGCAACACCGGTAAATGGTTCTTCCACGAGACGGACCAGTTCTCTCCGTCCATCAATGGTCATTCCCTCTTCGCGACCGGCGATCCAACCTGCACCGGTCTTGAGAACTCGGTTCACCGGGTACGACGGCTTTGCCCGTTCAAGTCCCTTGGCCGATACCCATTACCAGGGTCTCCAGATCGGCTCGTTGGGTTTGGCGACCTGTAGAAGACCTTGGTGGCTCTGCGAGATGCCCTCGACGTCCGTTCGCACCGGAGAAGGTTGACTGGAGGCCGGAGTCAGAGGCATGGAGTATTCGTCCGAGCTCAGTTCGCTGCTGGATGATGGAGAAGATTGAGGCGCTGCCACGTGGATGGTCAAAGGTCCAGTTTTGTCCATGGAGTTCAGTTTGTGTCCCAAGTGGGTCATCAGTTTGGTTCCCAGAGCGACGTCGACGCCGGGAGTGGCTGCTAGACAACGGCTGACTTCGTTGGCGCAATGCGTGTACCCAGCTCTGAAGCGATCAGCGTCGATCACCGGGTTCGCGGAAAGTCTTTGCTGCCTTTGGAGTTTGTGAAGATGACGGACGGTCAGCTCCAGGATGTCAGCCTTCTCCAGTTTAGCAACGTTCTCACCGTCGCCTGCCAGAGCAGTCACCATCAGGTCCTTCAGTTCGTCCAGGCACCGGTTGATCCTTGCCCGACGTTTGCGTTCAAGCATAGGTTTCATCACCTGAGAATTTGAAAATAAGGAACCATTGTAGAATACTATTGAAGAATCTCCAATTGGCGGGAAGAATTTAAGGAAGTCAAGATCGAATCTGCCGGGAGGATGAGAAATGGATATGTCTTCTGAAGACGCTTACCTTTCTGTATTGATAAGTCCTGGATATAGGCTGCTCCTGTCCATCGATCATCATCATTTGCTCGTGCATCTGCATGATTAATCCTTTAATAGATGATCACACACCGATAAACTGCACTGATTGCCGCGTTAATCACACTTAAAGTCTCTGCACAGATAGTTAAGGTCAGTTTTGAAAGGATCTCCTCTACGATTACCGGGTCTCGCTCGATTCGATGGAAACGCAACGACTGGGTACGCGTGTCCAGCTCGAACTTCGTGAACGATCACCGTGATTGTGGTGGCTGTCGGGCGAGGCTGTAGCTTATATAGTCAAGGACCCTTCGGCTGGGTGGGGCGAGGGGCTGATGTCAGGGTCCGGGAGTGGGGGACAGGCCTTCCGTGGGAACGGTCCGTAGAGGTTGGTTCCCAAGCAAGCACACCACCTGTAAGCGGCAGCTGCCAGACACGCGCCCACACCAAGCATCGTCACCGTTTCTTCGTCCTTATTGCACCTACCGTTCCGGGCCCGTGTTTCCTACCTCGTCTGATCCTCTCTGTTGGTCGTGCCATGGTATGCACGGCTTTAACCTTCTCTTTTCCTTCTCCTTTTCTCTCTCTCTCTCTCTCTCTCTCTCTCTTGGTTCCTTTCGGCTTACTATTTCACGAACGTGCGATCATACGGAAGGACCCCGAACCTATCCACCTCCTTTTTCTTTCTCTTCAGGTAAAATCAAGAGAGAGAGCTGCTCGTTCTCCTTGTTACACCCCCCTTAGCTCTCTTCCTCCTTTTTTTTCCATTCTAGCGGACCCAAAGGTGGTTACTCGTGCTACGTCTTCTTATCGCGATCCTCTCTCTCCTTCTCTCTCTCTCTCTTTTCCACTTTCATGGTTCATCCATCGCGGTCTCCTTCTTCTGGTAGAGCAACCTCGTGGAGCGTGCTGGGCACAAGTCCGACGTTCTCCCTGATCGCAATCCCACTAGTTACACGTTAACCGAATCACGGCTACGTGTGTCTATGGCTACCGCGACGCGATACCCTCCCGTCCCCTAACCATCTACGCTCTGCTTCCTCTCCGCAATTGATCAATCATTTTCCGGCGCGCATATTAAATCCACGCGTGAGATACACCCGCCGCGGATGCGGAGACAAATGTTGCGCGATAAAACTTGACGTTATGAAAAGGATGTGATGAATCGTTTATTACGATTGTCGTGTGGGCGCCGGGTCTCCTCTTCGGGACGGGGGGGAGGGGATGGGCAGGGACAATAGTCCACGCGATAATTAACCGTCCTTCGTTTCGTAGGCTCTTTTGCTTTTCTTTTTCTTCTACGACGTTTCGAGGAGCTCGTTTGTTACAACGATGAAAGACCGCGGTTACCATTCTAGGCCTTTGTATTTTAATTGCCGAGCAACTAGTTGGCTAAGCTGGGTCTCGCGCGTTTCCGTCTACTTGTTTCGGGAAGTAATAATTAGGTTGTAAAATGGGATTATATCATTCGGGGATTATATTGCCAGGTCGGAGGATTAGAGCGTACGCTACGCTGAATTATGAAGAGGGGATACTTTATTGAAACGCAGTTCAGCGCAAATTGTTATTTGCTCCAAATAAATTGACTCCGTTATGAAATCGAAAATACTTATGACGTTTCAAAATTTCTGTCAATTACTGACACCTGTGCTCCCAATATTTAATTGCAATCTTCAAATTAATTAGATTTTGTATTAACTTTTAAACGGCGGACAATGGAGAGAGGCAAATTAAAAAATAATCAATGGCGGACCATGGAGAGAGCCATTATAATGATAAGCTTACTACTGGATTATAAATTGCAAAGTTTAGAGTTGCCAAAAGGTGCTCTTATTATGGAATTGGTAATTCTTTTCTGCCGAAGTCACGGAGCCATGAAATTCCAGTTGGAATCTCAAACGGCGCCGCAATTACACGTAACAGCCAGCCGAAAGTGATTTCCATGTCTCGTTCTCGATACTCGAACGGCAACGAGTACACATAACCGCTCGAAAGTATCCTCGTACGTAAATGAAAATAATTTTAGGTCAGTCTTAAACGAGGATTCAATTTCTAACGTGTATGATTTGTGATCACCCGAATATTTAGGAACGATTAAAAATGTTCACCCGAGGCGGTTCGGTCGTTGTCGAAAATCGTTGGAAAGTAGCCCGGAGGAGTATTCGTAATACCGAGGTTTAATTTCTCGAAGATCCTCGTAAAACCGTTCCCCGCTTCGGATAGTCATCGTACGGAATGAATATCTCCGATACGGTTTACGTGTACATCCTGTCTGTTGCTGGAAGCACTTCCAGATACTAATTTCGTCGAAGCTTTTGCTGAATTATATCCTTCCCGGTTCGCCTCTTTCCAATCCCTTCTCTATCCTTCTCCGTCAAGCTTTTCTTTTTTCATAACCTCCGTTCGTTTCTTCCTGCCAACCCAGCTCGCTTATTTCATCGCGAGTAGGGGCACTTAAACATCGTTCGCACCGAATAATTACGCGCGTCAGCTTCATCCTTCTTCTTTACCCTGTCTCAAAGTTCCACGTCCCGTCCGGCCGCCTTCTTCTTGCTACCGCGACTTTACGAGCCATCCTTCTTCATCCCTGCCTTTCTCAGGCTTCCTCTTTTTTCCCCTGTTCCTTCAGGCCGGCCAATTGCACGTGTCCTTAACGACGCCGCCACCTTCACGTAGAGCTTACGTGATCCTCAGATAACTCGAATCTCCTCTTCGTTTTACCCCTTTTTCTCGCCTCTCTTCGATTCGCTTTTCCCTTCTGCTCGATGGAATTAAATTAGATCGACGCGAGGAGGATTGAATCCGGCTCGCAATGATAATTTTCATCTTTAAAGAATTTTTGAAATTCGATATAAAAATCATGGTATATCGCGGTGTCTGAGCTCTGCGGAGTTTGCTTCGATTGTTCAGCAGGCTCTTCGCGTGTAACAATATACATTGCAAGGTTTCCTGGGGCAAAAAATGAAAATGAAAAACCTTGGATAGATTCAAGGAAGCCTTTCGCGTGTTTAATAGCGAGTAACCGTATCGCCGATGCACTGTAGGGCATTGATAAACTCTGATATGATTTCATGACAGGAAAGTATCTTAAAATAGCGCTTATGATACATCAATTTAAAGCTTAAAGTTTCATAAAAATTGTTACATAAAGATTTCAATAATATTCTTACAATTAGTACAAAATGAGTGAGCTATAGATATCATCAAAGTAATAATTTTTATATATTAAATTGTTGTATAAAATTTAGGTTCTAGCAAATTTTAATTACATTTTAAATTTTAAATCGATATATCACAAGTTAAATTTCATGAACCTCCATTACTGTTCATTTACAATAGTTTATATTGAAGATAATTATGTCCCACGAGGACTATCGTAATATCATTGACAGTTCATTAAAAAGGAAACCGAATGAGACTTAATGCAGCCACGTGTCGACTTGATTCCAAGTCAGCTTCCTCTCACGTGCCGTTCATTGTTCGCTGTTTTTGCACGATCTGGCCGGGCAACACGAACTTCCGACTGTGTTGGTGGAATAATATAAACTTAATTCAATGCCTCTGTTAGTCCACGTGCACTGTTACACGCGTTAGAACGCGTAAGCCAGCACGTGCTGAAACGATGCACGGATTAACCGGAAGTGAGTGCAGTCAAGAGACAGACTCGCGAGTTGCATAATATTTCTTGCAGAGCTATTCAACAGTAAAGGAATAAATTTATTTATTTATTTTTGTACAAAACATACAATAATATTGACTTAAAATTAAATGTATCATTTTTAAACAAAAGAGTTTCATATATTGGGGTTCTCTCCATGGTCCGCCGTTCGAGCGTTTATAGAAAATCGAATTCAGACCTAAATGCTAACTATTATTATATATTAGATTCACTTATAATATCCTTTATAAAGCGTGTCATTTTAACGAGGAAACACGTGCGAGGTTAACAAATTTTCTCATCAGTTTTCCCATGTTTCGTGTACACTTATCGAGTATCGCTTATGAGGACAGGAAGGGGGGCTTATTAGCAAGTACATCAGCTGTTCGTGAACATATGTCGCGAGCCGTTTGGCTCGTGCCAACGAAATCATGATCCCCTTTCTCCCCTATCTCGAATATCAACCCCTGTGACATCGGTTCGCACGCGTCGATTTCCTTCGTAATATCGAAGGGGCCTTTATAGGGGTTTTGTCGAAAGATAACAACCGGATGCTTCTAATAACTCCTCCTCGTGAGAACTTTTTTGCCTCTGGCTGAAACATTGCCTAATTTGATCCTCAATGTGTCATCCTTTGTTTGAACTAAGAATTGATAGTATGGATTTAGGTGTAGATTTTGGAATTAAAATTTAATAATAACCAATTGGTTTATTTAGATCATCTGTACACAGATAAATATTAATATAATACATAGATTTGAAAATTGGAAAGAAAATTGAGTTTTTTTGAAATTTTATGCTTCTGAGCTCCTAAGAAATTAATTAAATTCTCAAATTTGATTATTAAAACTGTAAAGAAAAATTCTTTTTGCATGATGCCGAGGATCAGATATCAGAAAGGCATACCGCAGCTACATTGTATCTGGAACCCTTTGAAAGTCACGATTCCAAAAAAGGTAGACAAGGTATACATCTTAAATATTATGGTGGTTCATCAAGGGCTTATTGGCGTTACGACCATGACGGTTATGGCACGAAAAAGTTCACATTGTATGTTCAGGTTTTATATTCCTTATTTCTTAGCTGCTGTTTCGGTTGGATCATTAATATTTTTCATTATACTGCCTTGACGTTCATTAAGACGATGCTGTTAGGATCAGGGACAAATGGTATGCAAATGTTGAAGGGTCTCGAAGAGAATAGAGAAATGCATCTTCTTTATTATCTTCTAACAACGTTTCTCGAACAAAAAATTTACAATCTCTTGTTGGATTCTTTGAGAAATACTTATCATAAATTCGTACCAGATGAAATTATAATTAAAATCTGAGGGAAAATCGTGTATTTTTAATTTTTATATTATTACAGAGCTATGTAAATCAATTTTAATGCAAGGGTAGTGCAATTTTCATTTCAAATTCAATTCTGTGATTGCAATATTGTTTCCCGTTAACCATAATTTCATCTGCTTCAAGGAAATACCACTTAGAACGTAAACACAGGGCAGTTCCTTTTCGAATAATAGAATGTTCCGTTAATACAATTTACCGAAGATCGAGATTGTGTTATAAATAATAGAGATTAGAAAGGTATCGGTTCCATTTTAATCAGAATTCCATGTT